TATCTGCAGCCAAATGAAACAAATTCAGTACAATCAGTGCAGGGTAAACAAAACAGCAGTAACACTGCACATGTTCATAAGCACCAAGAAGCACAGGTGCAGTGTCTCTCCTTTCAGACTTCCTCTGCACTCATTGAGTCTAGAGGAACGTTCTTTCTCCTCACCTGAAGCATCTTTGTCACTTTTAGCTCCATGGATTCTGTGTCATTAATTTTTCATTATACAGTGAAAGATCAGGTTTAGTTGTGCAGCGTTGAGAAATAAGATACATAATAACTTCACTGCTCTTTGTGGATTTAGCTATCTGAATAATAACAGCAACATATAAGTAGATGTTTCATGAGCTGCATGGCTGATTTTACAACCTCTGGATGTGATAAAGGGGTAGAATTCGATGAGTGAATCTAATCAGCATCATCATCAAACTGATATCTACCACTCTTGAGGTGTATGGTAAGCAGACTGGTCTTTATACAATGCCTTTCTACTCAAGCTCTTTCTACTACATGTTTTATTCACTCGAATCCACACATGCGACGCACACACACTCTTGTGGATACATTGGGGCAACTTGGGGTTGAGTATCTTGCCCAAAGAAATGTCAAAATGCATTAACCTGCCTATCAGATGTAATTGTTCATTTACAGAGGGTCCCAGAACACTGAGTCGTTCTGGATCATTCTACCCAGCTGTAACCTCTGATTACATCTGATGGGCAGGTTAATGGTTATTACTGTCAAATGAGTTCATTTTTGCTTGCTGCAGCCTGTTGCTTCCAGAGATAGCACAGAGATACTTGCTCAGTAATAGATGTGATGCTGTACATGCAGAAGACTGGGATGTCTTGCTCAGAATGCAGACTGGTCTGTGCTCTGTGCTCTGTCTGTGCTTGTCTTTATCCTCTTCATCAGACTTGAAGTGTTGCTGCAATGATCAAATCAACATCCCAACATATAAATGTTGGGATGTTGATCCAGAGCTACATCCAGCAATCTGGATGTAGCTCTGGAGAAACAGCAGATCATCTGCAAATCAAAGGTTTGGCGGTTTGAGCCCCTGCTGCTGCAGTCTGTATGCCAAAGTTTACTTGGGCAAGATCCTTGGACCTGAGTTGCTCTTTGGAGTGTGAATATTAAATAGAAAGCACTTAGGTAGAAAAAAATAGAAAAAAGTGTGTGTGTGTTATATAAAGCACTTTGAGCCCACAAGTAGAAAAGTGCTATATAAGCATCATTCCATTTACAAAGTATGGTTATGACTGAAGTGTAACTTTGGTCAGGATTTGTTCACGGAGACATTTTCCCTTCATTTTTATTTATGGAGCACCAACACATGACAACGACATTCGGCTCAATGCAAAAAAAATGTATTATATGGTAAAGACCCTAAAATAATTACCCCCATGTATCCAGGATGTTTTTTGTTTTATTTAATTTCCTGTCTTAGCCCTTTTTTTTTTTTCAACTCTGTGACGTGTTCATGGTGCACATGTAAAGTTGTAGTCGATCCAAGTGGTAAAAAAGTAAGTACAGTGAGAGGATAACACTCGGTTTCTTTGTTATCACTTTGATCTGCTCCATTTCTGGCTGACTGGCCAACAACATCACAGTCATGCGTATCCCACAGACTGGCTGTACCATATATTTTGGCACTGCTCCCAACAGAGGCTGTCTGCGAACACGCCACCACAGGTCAAGGATAATTTCCCAATTAGTCCAGAGGATGTGATATCCATGTTTTCCAAAGAGAATTTTTTTTTAATTAATTTGACCACAGAGCAATTTTCCACCTCACCTCAGTCCAGAGAAGATGGCAGCATTTCTGGAGCATTTGTCAATATTCTTGATATTTATAATCACCTCTGTAATATTTTTAATGTGTATAATTGAGCGATTTGTATATATTAGCGCTATTTCTTAAATCTGTAAACTCTGTAACATATTGTACTATTTAAATAGTTTAGTCTGTTACTGTTACTGTCTCGGAGCAACTGTAATTGCAAACTGCATTTGTGGATGACATAGCAAACTGCATTCACAGTGATTTCTAGACGTGGTCCTGAGCCCATGCAGGGATTTCTATGTTTTTAATGCAGGGCTACCTGAGGGCCCCCGAAGATCACACTGATTTTCCTTGGTTCTCTGAAACTTTTGACGATATTTCGAACTGCAGATAATGATATTCTCAGCGTCTTCACACATTTATGTCGAGGACCATTATTCTGAAATTGTTCCAGAATTTGCAAACAGTTTTCTGCAGATTGGTGAAGCTCTGCCCATGTTTACTCTGACTCTGCCTGTCTGTGATACCCTTTGATACCCAGTCATGTTGCTGAGTTGTTGCCAGTTAACCTAATTAATTTAAAAAAACAGTTACTTTTTTTTTGTCTTTTGTTGCCCAACTTTTCGAGAAGCGCTATTATCGTCAAATTCAAAATGAGCTAATATTTGTCATAGAAGTAAAATGTTTTATTGTGAATAAAATGTGGATTCAAGAGATTTACAAATCGTTTATTTGCGTTTTACAGAGCATCTCAACTTTTTTGGAATTGGAGTTTTATTTGGATATTTGGATATTTTATTTATAATGCAAATTATAGGGATTAAATTCAATATGCAGTGGAACTTCCTGTCTCCTTAATAGTAGAAAGGCCCTTTTGCTCTGTGTGAAAATACTAAACACATAGGTAAACTATTTGTAGCCTGATGCTTCGTGTACTGCTCCAACAATGAAGTCATAGTGACCTCCAGTGGTAGACAACCAAACTAAAAACTCCTTCTCCAAAATTAAACTTTAAACTCTTAAAAAACAAATTGAGCATTGCCTTGATTGTGACCAACTTTAATGTTTTAGCATATTGGACTCCCTACAAGAAAATACAATTAACACAAAATAGAATGCAGTTATATGTATAATAAAATAAAATAAAATAAAATAAAAGTATCAGTCAAAAAAGGCAAGACCATGTTGAATAGTACTGCAGTACTTTATATTTTGCAGAATGGCTATGTTCTGGGAACTGTTCACCTTTGTATGTAAATACATGAAGCCAAACAGAGGCAGGGAAAGCAGCACTGACACAATGCAGGGTACAGAACATGCAGACATCAGCTGATGCGTGCTGGCATGGAGAGCTTGAATTTCCTGTCTGCCTGCAAGACCAAACCACTTACTGAGTAAGCAGGGCATTCTCATCTTGTGCAAGTATCACATTCTTTACTGGGCAGAAGTGCCCTGTTTCTTATTTTCGCCTCATATTTCTCCTAAATTTAAACCCAAATTTAGTTTCAGCCAGACATTCATAGCTTTTATCTGAGGTCAGTTCTTTTTTAAATCTCGAGTTGTGGCTGTGTGTCATATAAAAACATAGAAGCCCTGTGAGGTAAATTGTCTCAGGGTGATATTTTGTACCTAAACACAACATTTATTGTTTGAAAACAAACTCTTTGGCAGTTTCTAGATAAGGAAGTGCTGCATGTTTTGTCAATGAAATACAGTCTGTTCATTAAAAGCATTAAAAATAATGCACTTTTTTTGTTACTTTGGATTAAAATTAATATTTTGTTTGGATTTTCAAAGCATTTGCAAGCACAGATTTTATTTTATCCCCAGACTTGAAAGCATAGTGAGCCCGTTTGTCCTTGTGGAGGAGCACTAGCCTTCCTCTCTGCACAGTTTGAAACTGTATATATTAACATGCTGAGTTGGTTTGAGAACATGTCCTCTGCTGATGCTCTCTGAGTCACTTCCACCCTCCATGACAGACTGCCAACAGATGCAACTTAATGCCTGTGTGCGTGTGTATGTTCCAAGTCCTATTTATAAACAGGCCCCTTCCTCATCAGACATGCATATGTAAAATCAACACACATAAAACCATCTTCAAATAAAACAGCTCTTAAAACAGGACTAAACACCCCCTAAGGCTTGCAGTATGTTTTGATGATATTGCTAACGTCAGAATACATGCCACTCTCCACTGAGTGAGATGAGATTTCCTTACCTCTGCATTGGAAGACTAAACCACTGCATGCGTAAGCAAGACATCCCAGTCTTCTGCGGGTATCATATTCTTTCCTGGTTGAAACTCCCCAGAGTTTCCTTTTGTTATACTTGTTCTTTTTCTTTATAACCAGTTTCTTAACTAGCTACCGTTAAAAGCTAGTCGAGTACACAGTTAAGGTGCTGAATTTGTACTTTAAATTGAATATTTCTGTTTTCATGGTCATGTGAATTTGCATAATTATGACGAAGGAACTGACCTCCCAGCCCATTGTTCCCTCAGTGGTGCTAGTTTCAGTCATTATACTAATGTACTGTTGCATTTCTTTCCTTCTTACTTCATGCATCACTGTTGTCTTCAGAGAGTTAATCTGAAACGTTCCCTTAAAGCCCCACTATATGCAGTGAATACTGCAGCCCCTTGACCACAAAATATATTCAGACAGTTAAAGGGTAAAACGGAAAGCTTTATAGTAGCAAGGAAATCAGCAAATGGGCTCAGCAACTCTAAAGTTTCATAACACTGGCTAACATTAGCCACCATAACCTTGTGTTACACCAAAAATGTCAGCTTGTGGCAGTAAAGATGATACCATTAAAAGTGGGTTTAACTGCTTATGAGTTCAACGTATTCTTTGTAAGACTTTGTAAAACAGGTTTATACTTTTTATCAAGAGTCACAAGTACTTTAACCAAAAGGTTAGCAAAAGCTAGCAAAGCGAAGTAGAATATTGTGTAATTGTTGCAGATATCTCCCAGTATACATCATCATCATTAATATCTATGAAGCTGAACATGTTGAATGCATATAAAATGGTAAGTTTTTTGTCATTCTGTTTTGCACTTGTTTTACTGCCCTGTCCACCTCTAGTTACAAGCGCTTTAATCTGTGATGAAACATGAGTGCATGGGGGTGACCAGTGTCAGAGAAAGACGATCACGTTGGTAGCCTGGGATGACTCGAATACTTTCCACCATTAGGGTTTACGCTCCCCAGTTTGGAGCTGTGTGTGGGAGCAGGGAAACAGAGGCAACAAAGGTACAGCGAGTCAGGCAGAGGATATGAGTTCATTTTAGCAAATCTTACAGCTTACTTGTGAGGATTAATTGTGCCTGTATTTACAGACTAATAGAGACAATTATGTCAGACAAACACAATGGCCAAGTTTCCCAAAGGAAACCATTCAGCAACAAGAACATCAAGAAGCTCCGCACTATTAGCATGGTGTGCAACCTGGCAAGCAGCTGGCAGCAATGGGTGACAGAGAATGAGAACAAGCAGGCCAGCGAGCCAAGCGGCTGGGCTCCGTCTTCACTGGGTGGACCAGAGGAACCCAAAAAGAAGTGGGTTTCAAAGAAGCCTCCATCCATTCAAACGCAGCAAACAGAAGCTTCTAAAGGTCTCGCAGCTACACAAACAACGACATCAAAGACTGGTGAGGTTAAGACATCGGATGAGCCACCAGCGGCGTCTTTTATCAAGACAAAGCAAGTGGTGAAGACAGTGACCAGCAGCGCTCAGGAGAAGAGTGCAGGTATTGGGCTCCTGACAGAAAAAATCAAGAGGGAGCATCTCCCATCAGATGAGGAGATTGACAGACTGCTAAAGAAGAAAAGCTCGCCCACCCGTCGGAGGAAGTGCTCCAACATGGTGTCATCGCTGACCAAAAGCTGGAAGCAGGTGGAGAATGAGCAGAAGCTTGTTAAAGAAGGAGGAGATCCAAGAGAGGGATTCACCTGTGGGCGTAAAGAGGACAGTGGGCCCCTCGAGGCAGATGTAGAGGGACTGGAAGTAGATAAAACACACAGAACAAGCTTTTCAGAAGAAGCAGAGGAAAACAACTGTGAAGAAGACTCTGAGACAGCAGTGGGAATAAAAAGATCCTCAGTTCCAATGTAAGTAGTGTCACTGGGCTTCATTTTGTATTCAGAATTAAGTTTTCAAAAAAGAAAATGTTAAGAGGGAGTATAAAATGTTCACCAAATCAACTTTCATCCAACAAATTCTAAAAACTCAAACACTCTTTACTTCTTTTCAATATTTAAGAAATAGAGAATTGAGCTGACAGACTGGATGTTTTCATTAGACCACACAAAAACTTGCACACATTTATCATTTTTGTCTCCAACAATTACATTTAAAAGCAAGTAAAACCACAAGTTCTTTCTGTTGATTACTGAAACCCTGTTTAGTTATACAGGTAACTTTCTCATTAAGATTACACCTTTCTTTTTCAAATCAGATCTGGCCAAGAGAGAAGCAGAAATGATAACCAATATAACAATAAAAACCAGTACTGAGTGTCTTGTTCATTTTGTATTGACTTGTTGTGTCACTTGACATGCTTCACAGCTACAAAAAAGAAGCTGAGGATGCCAACAAGATCAACACGTTGTCCAAGAAATACAGCAGCGTGGGAAATCTCAAGAGCCGCTGGCAGAATTGGGCCTCTGAGCACACAGTTAATCAGAAACTCAACCCCTTCAGTGAATACTTTGATTATGACTATTCCATGTCCCTCCGCCTCCAGAAAGGTCAAGAGGGTTACGGACGTCCAAAGGAGGGTAGTAAGACGGCAGAAAGGGCCAAACGTGCGGAGAAACATATCCACCGTGAAATAGACGACATGTGCTATGTGATCAGAACTATGGCCGATCCGGACCCAGATGGAAAGACCCGGGTCACATTTGGAGAACTGTTTGACAGATACGTTCGGATCTCTGACAAGGTGGTGGGGATTCTGATGAGAGCCAGGAAACATGGGAAAGTGGAGTTTGAGGGCGAGATGCTGTGGCAAGGCCAGGATGATGGAGTTATTATTACTCTTCTGGTGTGATATTAACACCTGGGTCAAAGTTGTTCTTGAAATCCTCTTACAGCTTCTTTGCTTGCACACTGGAATTTGAACCTGAAATAACCCCCGTCATTGTCAGACAGCACTAAGAGGAGGATTTAAGATGCAGTTTGACCCAGGACTACTCGGTGGACACTTGCAGAACAATATCAAAAGGATACAAGCTGAGCTCGGCGGATGTGTCTCTCTACGGATTATCCAAAGAATACTTTTGCTGCTATTTTGGTAGATACTTGACAACTCTTTCTGTCAGTGTTTGAGCTGTAGCTGTCTTGCTCAGTGTTTTGCGAAATCTGCAGAGACTTAAAAGCTTTAAATCACAAGCGCTGAAGAGATAAAGTGTTGGGGTTTTGGTTCCTTAAAATCCATTCAGAGTAGCTTGCAGATTATCACGAGTGTCTCTTTTTCACTTCATGGTTTATGTTAATGAGATACTTGAGCATGTGCTAACGTACCAAATAATCAGCAGCTTTGCAGTATTCTGTACACTAATTCAAACATGGGTTGGGTTTCGCTGCCTGAATACATGCAGCTCAGCTTTCATTGCGCTACACCAGACACAATGCAGTGGAACGCCACAGTACTTTAAAACACCGTGGCCTTTTAGACCACAGCTCTTTGAAATGGTATCGAAGGTTGACCAAGACTGCAAGGGAAAATGGGAAAACTCATTAAATTGGAGAAATCCACTTCATGAAAACCACCTGGCCAATACTGTGTAGGTCCTCAGTGACGGCTAATAGTCTTTAAGTCATTTCCACAAGACAGCTGTGGCTGCCCTGTGGGTTTTTTGCACTAAGACATGGCAGAAAACCTCCTTTGGGTTGCAGCAAAGGGTCTACTTTGATCAGGCTGTTGCTTGGGATCATTCTACAATCTGGGAAGTACTGAGGCCTGGTGAGCACTTTGTCCTCTTTTAGTGTGTTGCTCGAGGTGCTTTTGCTTACTATTAGAGGATGTGCTGGTACAAGATCACATTAGAACAGGATAATCAGTGTTAATCGCTTCAACTGTCAGTGGCTTTACAGGAGTGCACAGCAGTAAAGTGTGAATAAGTCAAAATTAAAGTGCTGAAATGAACGAAATTATAGTTATAAGCTGGATTCCTAATCATACAGTAGCCTATGATGACTTGCTGTATTCTGTGTTTTGTGATGCTTTTTGTCCTGGGATTAAAAATAAAAAAGAAATGATAAAAATAAATGCTTGGATATGTTTACCAGTTAATCACTTACTAAGCTGAGGGCTGGACTGGCCTCCGGGAGCACCTGGACATTGTTTGATTGCCTGAGGGTCGTTTTGGGCTGCAGTGAACATTCAGCTTCATCAGCAAGCAATTTACAGACTGAGCAGGGTCTGAGGATTACAAGCGACTCTCTCAGAGACAGACTGTGCACTTTCCTTTTGCAGTCTCCCTCCATCACACAGGTGATGCACACAAAAGACACACACATAAGAAGCCCCATCACCCTCCCTCTCGCTTAGGAAGGTAATGTTACCAGGTAAACCATCTCTTGTTGAGATGACATCATACAATCTAGTAAGAGTGGTTAGTTGCCTGGATCCAGCCACTCTTACTGGATTGTATCATGTCATCTCAACAAGAACAAATTAAGTTGCTGAATTTCATGTAGATGCTACATGATTTAATTACGTTCGCCATAGAAACATCAAATCAAATTAATTGAATGTTAATGTTAATATTATGTTAAACCTACACACATATATCGTGTTGACACAACACAACCAAGATGGATTAATATAACATGATTTGTTTAGATGGAATATAAGTGGCAAGATAAAATTACGTTCATCCAATTAATTTTTTTTTTTTTTGAGTGTAGTAGCACCTCTTAGTTGCCTGCTATAAACGAGACTAATATTGTGGTGAGTGGTGAGTGTGAAATGGGTTAAGCTGCATGTGGTTAAATAATGAACTGAAACATCAGCCAGGTCCAATTTTTTGTAGATCTTTTTGATCAGTTTTATCACAAAAGTGTCCAAACAAAGTATTTTTACTACACAGTTGCTCATCAGAAAAAGTCCATTACACCTTTCTATTCTGTTGTAAAAGTTGCATTTAAATATGTTCATAAATAGCAAATGAACCAAAAACCACAAGAAACAATGATGGAGGACAAAGTAGCAGAAAAAATGAACAAATAAAATGTGCAATAGTGATCGACGGCTGCTAAGGTGATATAGTCCTCTTTCAGGTTTTATTTTAGTCTTTGCTCGGGCTCCATGTCTTCCTCTTCCTTGTATGATTAAAAAAAATGTGCAGATTGGCTTTCCTTTCTATCAAATAGAACATTGTATTCTGACTGGAACTGATATGAACACCCTGACATGTCTGTCAAGAACACAGGATCACCATGAGACACCATGTAAGAGCTGATAACATAAACTCCCATTATGTAAAGCTCTTTAACTAAAATGATATTCTTTAAAATTCTAAATAGTAACTGTTTTCAAGGAAGCGTTCTTAACCAGATATCCATTAGTTCATTGCAGAGTGGCTGAACCCCAAGTGAACAGGAAAAGTCTGCACAAGGTTTTGGAGGTTTCAGACAATATCACTGCCAAACAAGGCCGAGTGGTGGTTAAGTAAAGTGGTGGTTAGTAAAATCAAGAACAACTAATAATCTGGTTCTGCAGGATTTTCAGTCATGTTCAAATTACTAACATGCTAACAATGAGAAACATGCCTAGCTGACATACTTTATAAATTTGAACGCCAGCTACTGCATATACTTGTGCAACAGACCAGTGAAAACTTTTATCTCCTAATTCAAATGTGAGGCACTATAAATGTACACATGGTAGCCAGTTTCTTACTGTAAACTGGATAGTGTACTCACACAGCCTTCTTGAAGCTCACATACAGACTTAAATCCCACTCAAGGACTGCTTTCAAGGACGTTTTCTTAAAAGATTTCATGTGATTTTGTAAAGTTTCAAACTTTGCTACGCAGCTATATAAGAATCAGTCCATTTAACTAATTAGGACAAATCTGCATATAATTTTGAATGTAGCATGCAATATCACTGCCGAGCAGCACCTAGGGATGGTTTGATAATGGGAGACTAAAATGTATCTGTTTCCTGCTTATATATCTGTACTTACGGTAATTTTAGTCAAAAAGTGAAATCAACTGTGAAGTCTGCAGGTGTTCAATGTGAACACATTATATGCATGCAAATATGCTTTAACAGAAAATACCGCCCATCATTTGTATGTTGAAGCACTAAAGGGAGTATAAATGAACCAGGCTGCGTCTTGCTGTAAACTGGAGAGTGTAGCTGCACAGTTTTGCCTAAACTTAGACGCACGTTTCAGTATTCGCGTCTTCATCTTTTTGACCTAAACAACCAAGCAGACAGGTGAGACCATTTTTACTATAATTACAATCAACACCAATTTTAAATAATTCTTAAATAATTAAATAGTTCTTTGTGTTCATGTTCACAGAATGCTTGTCGTTGTTGTCGTTGTTGTCGTTGTTATCGTTGCGCTTCTTGTGGCTTCTGCTTCAGCTTCCTGTAAGTGGCAATGAGGTGTATCTGATATTTCAGCATTCAATTATGTGTTTTTAAAGCATTTTAGGGATTTACAATTAAGTGACAAGCAATAATAGTAAACTGTGCACTGTGTTCACAAAGTATGATCTGCTTCATCGCTGTCAAACAAATTCAGCTGCCTCATGACGTCTGTTTTCTCCTCCTTGCAGTCCAGCCTCAGTACTCTTTCTCCCCTTCTGTCGGGTCAGGAAGTGGCACCTAATTTGCTATCACTGGAGAAGATAGGATCACAGCTGTAAGGGTCTGGGAAACCTACAGTGGCCACATCATAGGGTGAATATAAAAAAATAAAATTACACCTTGTGATATTAACACTGCTTTCATTCAAAATTAGCACAAAAGAGATAGGTCTATTGATCTATTGGTCATGAGAATGCAGCATATTAACCACCAGCAATTATCTTATGTTGTCTTTGTCTGTGTCTCATTTATTTATCAGCATTCAGTTCCACTATGGCTGTTTTTGATCCAAACTACAACAACACTGCACACTGAGGACCGTAGCATCATCTGTTCAGTTTTTGGACAGGAATTGCACTTTGCACAAAATTCTTTAGGGGTATTTTCATTAGTATCTAAAATGATAAAGTATCTACATGAAAATAAGTTATAATTACTATTTTTTTCTTCTTATCCTTATAAAGTAGTTAACCTACTGCTTTTGCCCAATTGCACACATCAGTGATCGAGAAAACGGGTGTTGATAACTGTAATTGTTTTCTTTTGGCAATCTGTCATCTTTCTATTACTCACTGTATACTTTTAATGCCATTATTCACCGTCCTCCACACGATCCAACAAAAATACAACTATACGTGTAAACTGGAAATTAGTCGATTTAATTTGCTGGCTCGATGGAGTTTAATTCCTGTATCTTTAAATAAGAAAGCAATAAACATCTACTTAATGCATAGATCATAGATGCATAGATCTTCTTTGAACAAAACGTTCCACTTTAACTAGAGTAGAGCCGCGAGACACATTATGGGACACAGCCTGGCTGAAGACTAAGCGAACAGGAAAATATTCAGTTAAAATAGAAATCTGAATATACTGAATGAAACTTGAATATATTTGATGAAAGTCAGATTATATTGAATGAAAGTCTGGATTTATTGAATGAAAACTGACGTTGCAAAGGCTCTGGCGCCATCTTGTGTTTAAGACGTATAATATTGTGTCGCTACAAGAAGTAGCTCAACAGGGGAGCAGCATTCCTAAGTAATGAAGACATAATTCTCTGGAAAATGCTTGTACTGTCGTAATTAGTACTAGTAACAGTAACATATATATTAATTCCCCAATCTCCCACGGGGCTGTCTTTATCCTTCGAGCTTGGCTCCAGTTACCATGAGGACCACTGTTTCCTTCACCTCCACATCTTCTCCAGCTCCTTTCTCAGCCCTTGTTATTTCTCAAGTTTCTTATGTTCCTTCTTCTTAATATTGCGATCACTTGGTATAGCTACATCAATCACTACAGCCATCTTCCTCTGCTTGTCCACCACTACTATGTCTGGTGGCCTCTACCTGCATTGTTGCCTCAATAATCCACCTGTTAGTAGTAGCTGAACCTGATTAACAATCCCCTCTGCTACCTAACTGACTAGATCAATATCCCAGAAATTTGACTGACTTGATGCTATACTCTGATTAAAAAGGGTTTCTATAGTTTTGTGATGACTGTAGTGATCACTGGACTGTAGTCACTGTAGGCAGCGTAGGGTTTATATTAATTTTTAAGATCCCGAATTTGGTGCTTTGATGATGTTGGTCAAGCACTGTCTAGCATGTCAATCTAAAATCTGTCATAGATATATCATTCACTCAAGAGATATGGTGACAGCACAGACCACCTGGATAGTGACAGATTGAGCTTAGGCTATAATACTAATACTAATACTACTACTACTACTACTACTACTACTACTAATAATAATAATAATAATAATAATAATAATAATAACAACAAAAGCATCTGATGTAACAATGGACTTGAAACAGATTTGGAAGGTGACAAAGGAGGTGCCACATCCAGTCATCAGGCCCCAGTGTGTGAAAGCTCCACTGTTCTATCAGGATCCAGTAAGACAGACAAAGAGCTACAATGTAATTATCAGTGAAATTAACTCTTGATTGTTCTCTAGCTGCTACAGTAACAAAGTGGTGGGATTGTGTTCAAACATTTGGCTCATGAACTACTGACCAAAGACCTAATTAGTTAAAAGGAGGAAGCAAATTATTTCTCCTGCGTAGACAACAGGATTTATCTTATATGTCAGCTCCTGGCTTCCATTGTGTAATTGTACCAAGCTTAAAATCTAGATCCAGTGGGCGTGCTTTCTCTCACATAATATGCAAGCTAATTTTTTATTCTTTTTTTTTTTAAACTTGTGTGTGTGTGTGTGTGTTCTGTCCTGCAGACTTTGATTTAATTGCGTTGAAATGTGCTGCGTACACAGACATTTGCCTCGCTGTTTCCAGCTACGGCTAAAACTGCTTTCTCTGCAAAACCCAGGAAACTTCCTCTTCCTTCCAGTAAGCGCTGAGCCTACACTTCCCAGAATCCTTTAAGGCGCGGCAGCAGCTGTGCGCTCCGGCTTGC